CAACTCGTTTATGCATAATCGGATGTATCCACTTGCGAAGATTTGAGTTGCTACTCGAATCATATTACAAATGGTATTCAAAGGGATCAAACTAACCAATTCAAGCAATACCAAGTAAGTTAGTAAGTTAATAACCAGAAATGTAACGTTTGCCATCCACAGCTATGTAACCCTGTGTCAGTGCTAGCTGGAGTTTTATTAAAAGATTTATATTGGCCTCCATGACATCTTTAACATTGTAAAACGTAGGTTGAGATATGTACCTAGCAGGTTTGATACAAATCTCCCTATAAATTGTTGTGATGTCGGATTCTGTTTCTACTTGCGGCCTAAGCGTTAACCAGTAAAATGCGGAGTTGAGTAATCCATTTTCAGTGATAACTGAGTACCTCGCGTTTTTATAACAGTATTGCAATTGCATGATACTTCTTGGAATATATGTGTTCCATTTTACCCAGGTGATTTCTGTCAAAGATTGACAGTCCTTGGCCTACTTTCACAACGTACCTCAGTTTTGGCCTTATATACTACGTCAGAATCAAAGTCTTGTTTGAAACGGTAAAAATGAGTGGTGTGTAACCCACCACCTCTACAACAAGCCACCACTGTTTCAATTCGAGTTGAAAATACTTTTGATTACAATAGAAAAGTTCCGCAATGCATGAATTTTGTTTGTGAACTGTTACGCTCTTAAATTCAACATTCATCGGCATTTTTCTGATAAATACTTTGATTGCAATGGGAGTGAGATTACGAATGCCGCAATTCGAAATCTTTGAATACAAAATTGTTATAGATTTATTATTTCAAATAAACTGGACGACTTATTAATCCCGGAAGCTGTAGTGTCTGAAATTAACATTCATGGAACAGCCATCTATTTTTCACACTAGATTCCAATGTTTTCGGCTCGTAAACAAACCGCAGGACTATCATATAACATGAGCCAGCTCCGTGAACCACGAATATGAGTGGTTTCATTTGCAGAAAACGTCATCAGGTCAGTTTAGGTGTTCAATTTTTTTATGTGGGCTACGATATGCTGCAGACGCCAACACTAGAATTTACATTTTGGTGAAAGTTGAAGTAGATCCTAACGTGTCTAAAAAATGGAATGGTAATCAGAATGTTTCTGTTCGAAACAAGGACTAGCCAGTTAAGTGAAGGAGTTTTGAGTTGTGGTTGTGTAACTATAACTTCAAAGTAGTTGCAATATATAGTTTTATCCTTCACTATGTCGAACAATTGAGGCGAGATATCTTATTTGGTTTTGGAAAATGTAAGCCTTTCGATATTCATCTTAGAAAAATAGGAAAATTTTGAATGATACACGATGATAGTCCTTGGCAAGGCTTGATAGGCCGTTCAACATTCAGCGGTCCACCTAGACCTATTTGGTTTCATGTAAATAAACATTCTTTCGGTCGAGGCTGTCATCTTGTGGTGATCTATTTACGCCGGACGCACATTAGATAACGATGAACACATATTCTCAGCGCTGACTAAGACTTTTCAACTGTTTAAAACAATTATGATGAGTATACGTTGTCTGTTTTAGGACATTTATTATACCCATAATTGTTGAAGCTCATTTGTGCTATTTTCACACCCTTTTGAACCGTCGAACCTTTGACAGATGGCTAGTGGTTGAAAAAGAATGCTAAGGTAGACAGGAACCGTATTCGAACTACACGATGCACCACTACTTGTCAGAGGTAGAAATACCACTACAAAAGGAAAGCTTTTTTGGTTGTAAAATGTTATCACTTTCCCTTCAATGAAGAAATCTTTTTCAAAAAATCCAACTCAATCAAACCTCGAAACACTCAAAAAGCGAGACAATCTGAATACAAGCAAACCACTTCAATACATGGGAGAAAAATGAAACCCTCTCATACCTATCCGAGTTCTCGTCAATACGACCTTGAAATCAAGGCTGTACTTTATGGAAGGACCAATCAGGTGGGGCTTATATTTAGCGCGGATTTCTTTTGTGTGTTGTAACGCATCCTAAACCTTGCTCTATCAACTCCTAATTTCATTTATCAGTTTGTTTTAATCTCACACTGGTTTTATTTGTCTTGGCTGTCTGTTTATTCCTCTATTGCATGTAAATACATTCTATCAGCTTACTGAGTCATCGGCTCACCCTCCTCTGTTATTCGTTCTTCAAGATAACCTCACACGCTGGTCCACTGAGCACTCAAGTAACCTCCTGGCTAAAGGGAAACTAACCAAAGGCTGAAGTTACAGTGTTGCAACTCATTCGAAACCTTACTTTAACAACTTCAAGCTTCGATTATCAATTTGCCTTGATCTCATGCTGGTTATCTATCTTGTTGCCGTCTATTGCTTTCTATCTTGAAGTAAGTGCATTCTGTGTACTTACTGAGTCATCGGCTCACCTTTCGTAGATCATTTCACACGCTGCTCCTCACATACCACCAGCAACCAAAGTACCTCCTGGCAAAACGCAGACTAACCAAAGGCTGAAGTTACAGTGAGACAGAATTTCGGTTTTGGAGCAAAAGGTTTAGAGTAACTGTGTTGAGGTAGGAATTACCTCGTATAGTTGAAATCAGTTGTTAAACAGGACTGGTGGTGGTATGAACGTAGGTATGGTAACTTGTAGTCATTTTGTACTAAGACAGCCTTTTGGCATTATGAATGATCTCAATTCTGGATAAAACTTCTGGCTCAAATTCACAACCCTAACTTCTAACTCTTAAACTCTGTTCTAATTCCTCATACTAATATTCAGCCTTCCCCAGAGCCTAGTAATTAAACACTTTCCCAAAGTCGCGTTTTCGCTCCTAAAAGGTCCTTTGCAGATTATAGTCCCAACAGTTTATAGATTAGCAACTTAGGGTGAAAAAATTAGTATGCCACCGTTTTTTTTAGCTCGACCTGGAATTATTTGCGATTGATGCCTTTATCAGAAAGTAGGTTCTTATTATGAGATTAGTCTATATTTGTGTGTACTGGCAACATCGTCGGTATATATATTATGGATCAGTCCAATGTAAGTGGCAGCTAGTCTTTTAAAATATGCTATTTTGCATTACTCGATATCAAGTGTCACAATAAAAGAAGTAATTAGCTGTAGATGGTTTTTGTACAGCTAGGAGATTAGTTTCTTTATTTAACAAGTTGTATGTGATACAATTAATTTGCAAGATGAACTTACCTTACCACTGCAAATTTAGAAATCAAGAACTTGAGTTATGTGATTCTGCAGCGAGAAACTAAGAGAAAGTCGATTTTATCTATGATTCTGTTGACTGAGCTTTAACCGAAATGCAGGTTTGATATTAGCAAGACTGTCTTACGAAGTCTAGGTTGGTGGTGGGCGGTAGCTAAACAAAGCAATAATGCTGTGAATTTATAAAAAAGAGTTTGATTTCAAGTAAGTTCTAGCCTTCAACTTCAGTATAAACTCTAAGCGGTAGTGAAGCAGCAACCTTGTAGCAACCGTCTCGGAATCGACTGCTAACATGAGGGGAATAATGCGCATTTTGGATAATGCATTATTCAATATTATGTCGAGTGAAGAAGGTTTACCACAGTCATATTTCTCGCTATCGAATAAGAATAAAACAAGCCCTAGAATGTTATCATCACGAAAATATAAGGAATAAACTTAGAAGATTACATTTTTCCGATTACTCAATTACCTGTCACATGGTTTAGGCAACAAAGTCCGTAGACTATAAGCTGGAGACTGTATTCTCAAAAACGTTGGAACTGGTCTGTATTGATCAGGCGATTCGTATTTGTTAGAAGTAATATCTGGGTGAACGTATCGTTGAAACTGGAAATAATGTGCAAATTATACATTGTCCTGTCATCTTATTCCGGAACTTGAATATATTAGCTACGTAAACAATGTGACTTAAATAACAAACGGTGTTTTCACGTCATTAGTCAGAATATCCCAAAACGAGACAACAATGTAATCATGTAATGGATAAGATTCTGCCTTCCAAATGCGAACTGTTGTTTCAGGATTGGCTTGCTTTGTGTTCTTGCTGACGGCTCTCATTATCTTGGGAGTCTAATCACTGCTGCTGGCCTGTCTGACGAAATATCAATACGAATGCAAAAGACTGTACTGGCTTTTGCCAACTTGCGTCACTTATAGCGTAGGACGGGTTAACTGTGTAGCAGTTCGGTGCTTCCTATTCTATGGGTGTGAAACATGTCCACTAAGAGTAGAGGATACTCGTAGATTACTGGTATTCGATCCTAGGTGTTCTGGAAGCATTGCTCGTATATCCTGGGAACACCAAGTAAGTAATGCTGGTGTTAGGGAAGGGATACTTGGTGAGAATGGCCGATCGATTGATGGAGTAGTGAATCTCCATCAGTTTAGGAGGTTGGGGATGATAACACATGTCCTAACTAACGACTGCCCCGACGAGCGATGTTTAATAATGTAGAAGTAGGCTGGAAGAAAGCAGGAGGCGGCCAGATCAAAATGTGGTTAGAGACTTTGAATGACATGGCTCAAAATCGTTTGCAATAGCATAGGTGAATCCATTCTTTGTATTCTCTCAAATTCCAATCTTATAAATTCTTCATGACCTTTTCTGAATTCCTCATCACCTTTATCTTTTTATTTTAAGTTTATTTCACTAGATTCTACTTTTTCAATAATATCGTCGTACCCCAAAATTTCCGATTACTGCTAATACTTCTACTACCTCTACTTCTATGGGATTTGAAGTGACAATTGCATCTCTGTGCTGTTGTTGTATGGCAACTTGACTGGTGTACGTGCGTACCAAGGTCTACGTTGTAGCTGACTGATTGAGTGACATGAGCAGGTTTTTCATGAACAGCAGCTGTTATGCCAGTTAAAACTTTTATCCAGCGTTTCGTGATGCTTAGTGATAGCAGAAATTTCGTTTGATTACATAGGTTGTGTTTCTATATTAGATTATATGATACAAATTAAAATATAAAATAGAAATACAGTTTCTTTTTTTTTAATAGCTATAATGAGTTGTCCGATTTGTGAAAATCGTCAGCTTGTTGAAGATGAGAATACTGGGCAGTTAATCTGTTCAGAATGTGGAACTGCTACAGGTGTATATAGAGGAGCTACCCAAGTATGTTTTTTTCAGTCGGAACCTGTTGGCTCCCTGACTATTCAATCACTTTAGTCTATTTTAAAATTACACAATGTTTTATGCATTTATGTGCTTTAAGTAATCAATGTAGTTGAAGTGATTGCCTTTATAAACTTATTAGATTTTGTCAAGAATACGAATCACTGTGCTTTAATAACCATTATTGACATTATTCCGCATTGTAATAGTAAATGTTCCTAATATCCTTTTCACAGTCAGTTAGTTATAAACAACATAAACCTTGGGAAAAATATGGATAGGTTCGTGTTGTTACGTTCCACGTCAGCGCAGCTGTTGAAAGTTGACGAGATGAAGACTGAATGAATGGAAATAACAATTACATCAATATTAAAAGCAACTAAGCTTATATGATATAGTTTGAAAATGGACACAAGGTTGGGAAACAAAGAGTGTACAATAATACTTAAGTCCATTAACTGGGGGGTAAAATATAAACATATCTACTCCTCTACAGTTAATTACAGTTTTTTACCAGGAAGCCTGTACCCATGCCTACGCAACCCAAATGGGTAGTCGTTAGCTGATGTTACACCTGAGTTTGATTTTCCCTAGCCCTCTTGTTCCAATATGAGTTTTCTCGGGGTTAATTACCCACCTTGGTAACACGCTGAAACGCTAAGTCCGGTAATTTCTGTCAATTCCCTCTATAAATCAACTTAACAGTAATCATATTGTATTTGTCGTAGGACTTCCTTCAGTACGGAGGAATACAGGTGGTGTTGGATACTATTTGAGTACGATTCTATTTTATCCTATTTCTATGCTCACCTCATGTGTTATACCAATGGATGTTATTTTACCACGAGTTGTTCCTTCATGGGTTTCGTCGATTCTTACTCTCTCGGATTATGATCTATCAGTTCCCTATCTGATCTTTTGTCTGTTTAGTATTGATAAGTTATTGGTGAAATTCATTACTCCTTTTTAGTCTGTTCATCAAGTTAAAACCTTTATTATGCTCTGAAATAGTAGAACGAATTGACATATTTCTGTTTAATAGAATATTGGTGTCAAGCATAGGCAGACAAAGTTACTTGTTAAATAGACTGTTCGTTTAAGTCTTACAATAACAGGCTTTTTTAAAGTGATTCAGCAGATAAAATTTCCAGTTAAAAAGTAACAGCGAGTAGTCAAGCACTTCAGTAAGATAGTTTTTTTCTGAAAGTTAAGCAATTATGCTGACTTTGTAACTCGTCATTAATTTTAGTTACAGATACTAAACATTACTTTTATATCCATATTTTCAGTCGCAGGATTTCTCTGAAACCCGTGGATTACGAGTAATTCAAAAGACTGAACATTTAGTTAGTCAATCCAATCAAGCAGCTACAGATAACCTACCGGATACTTCAAGACACATAAAAGTTGAACCAGATGATATATATGAACCGAATATGATTCCTGTTTCTCGTGACAGTTTGCCGAACTCAATAGATGATCTTTTCTGTGTGAACGAGGTGAGCACTAATTCCGCTCAGAAAGAAAAGCGCTTTGAAAGGTATCGTCCTTGGCGATTATCCGAACCATTTACAGTAAGCTCTTTTGTATATTTATCCAACTTTAGACCGTGGAATCGTTTGGTACATTTTATTATTCACTGAAGTAACAAAATTTCATTCACACAAAATTGATATTAGCAGTAGTGTTAATTACGATATTCTTTTTTATGGATCTACAGTTTAGTATCACAAGGAGATGTCAGAGTAGTGTGCAATCGCAGATTATTTTTTCTTATACAGTCAGCTACAACGTAGACCTTGGTACGCACGTACACCAGTCAAGTTGCCATACAACAACAGCACAGAGATGCAATTGTCACTTCAAATCCCATAGAAGTAGAGGTAGTAGAAGTATTAGCAGTAATCGGAAATTTTGGGGTACGACGATATTATTGAAAAAGTAGAATCTAGTGAAATAAACTTAAAATAAAAAGATAAAGGTGATGAGGAATTCAGAAAAGGTCATGAAGAATTTATAAGATTGGAATTTGAGAGAATACAAAGAATGGATTCACCTATGCTATTGCAAACGATTTTGAGCCATGTCATTCAAAGTCTCTAACCATCGGTTACTATCATCTTACGGACCCCAACCAGGTAGTCTCATCTGCTAACAAGGCTCATTCCAGCTGTCAATGACTTTTTCGATTTGTGCCACCTTTTGATCTGGCCGCCTCCAGCTTTCTTCCAGCCTACTTCTACATTACTAAACATCTCTCGTCGGGGCAGTCGTTGGTTAGGACATATGTTACGCATTCCATCTCTCTTGTTTTCGTTACCCACCACTTTGCGATCAATGCATAGGCTTTTTGTCTGAATACGATTAAGTTTACTCAGCTCTTCGTCATCTTTAGAGCCAAATGGGATTAGTTTCTGAGTGTCTTTCAGTTCGGTTTATGGTATTAAAACCCACTTCTTCCCCCTTACCTTTTGGTTTACCTTATTTGTAGATATGACGGCTGTTTCCACAGCTTTTTGAATATCTTCCCAAGCTGCCTTGATGTGAGCATCACTTACTACATGGACGCCTGTTTTTCTAGTTTTTCGCGAAACACATTCTTAGCTTTGCTATAATTAAGTATGACTATAAGAGGTTTCCTTGTAGTGTCTCTTTTATTTCCAGTAAGTCGCAAGCAAATACTAGCTCGCACTAGAGCATGAAGCGTAAATCGCGATGGTTCTTTATTTTGACAAAGTGAAGTCAAATAAATTAGTGTACTCGGATCTTGAATGCACTTTTCGGAGACGAAGCATATATTGACAGCACGAAATTCTAAAGTCATCGCTAAGGAAGCTTGTTGTCTTATTTGGCACAAGTTTTGAACATTGAAAGCTTCAACATGTAGTTTAGAGCTTGGTTTCAGGAGACTAGGAACTAGGAACTCGAACCGTTTGTATCAGTGGCGCCAGGTGATAAAGGAATGAAAGAAGAGTTAGTAGTGGAGATAAAAGAGTTATCGGGAAGAGATGAATGTATTTGAAAGCAAACAAGTTGATCTCGGCACGGTAGAATCTACATGAACATATGTTCTAGCCACTATAGCTCAGTTGAGTCATCACGACAGGCAAGCACAATTACGTCAAAGTAGAAGCTGCGGTCGCGAAAAGGACTACTTTAGAAAAAAACTGACTTTATACAAACTCTCCTCGGATACTACTGGTCGAGTCCGAGATCATGGAGAGGTGTCATCAGAATTTATTACTTCATCTGCCGTTCGTCAGGGTTGACCAATCTTACTTTGTCATTGACATGCCTTTTGAAACAACGCTATCATCTGACTGTCCAGGGGCTGATCTTTTGCCAGGAGATGCACTGGTTGGCTTTGAATATGCAGATGATATAGTTGTGTACGGTGAAGACGCTTATACAATGTAGCCTTCTAAATACTTTAAGCAACAATGTAATCATGTAAGGGATAAGATTCTGCCTTCCAATTAGAAGAAAGCTGGAGGCGGCCAGATCAAAACCTGGTTAGAGACTTTAAATGACGGCTCAAAATCATTTGCAATGGCGCAGGTGAATCCATTCTTTGTATTCTCTCAAATTCCAATCTTATAAATTCTTCATGACCTTCATCTTTCTCTTCTCAAATTTATTTCACTGAATTACACTCCTTGAATAATATCTTCCAACCCTAATATTCTCCATTATTGGTCGGACTACCTGCGTCCAGATACGTAAGAACGCATACAGCCTTATAGACATGAAAGAGTAATCAAGTATTTTGCTTACTCCTGTTGCACTGGAAACATTCGAGTTACATTAAGTTAGGAATTCGATTTTCTATATATTAGGATCGTCTATCTATCAACTGAACCCCAAGCTGTTTATCAAAGTAACATATACATTGTATTTTACTCCTAAAATTTAAATTAATTGCTGTATCTGTGGGAATCTTCATACTTCAACTAGAAAACTATGAATCGGACGATTAAATTAGAAACATTAAAACACGTGTGATTTTATTGGATTCAAAAGTAGACCGAATTGATTTCTGAATGTACCAATTCTTATACTCCGTATTTACACCTATTTGTAGTTAAATTCTAATGAATTGATTTGAGCTATGTTTGTTACCTATTAATTACTAAATTATTGTGTACACATGTTTCCAATATTATTGGACTAATAGCCTATAAGAGATAGGTAGAACTAATGAATAAACTAATGAATTACTGCTTCTTAAGATGTGATTGTAAGAAATCGATTCCGTATGTCTAATCAATTAATTCCTTGCTTACTAAATCAATCTGATATATATATTCTGATAAACAGATTTTTAATTCAATAAAAACAGGGATAAAATGGTTAACAAAAATGTTCATCAGCACTACTTTTAGGGTTAATTATTATCAGAAACAGTGTAAATTAATTTGTCATTTTCAAGCGAATAGTTCACTTGGATAAAATGAAGGAGAATCAGGTTTATTCCTCATGACACGTTAGATAGAGTAGTACTCCGTTGCGTCTTGGCTTAGGAACAAATATATACCTCAGTTTATTATAAAATTATTACAGCTTACTTCGTTACGTTTAACTTTGAGATAGAATCGAGTTAAATTTAAGTTATTCATTGTTAGTCCATTCATCGTTTAGAATCTCATTTCTGAATCGTAAGCTGTAAGCGTGTCTTGCTGTGACCATTAGTATTGTTATGTATATTCTGTGTTAATATATATATTGCTATCACTTTACAGTTCATAATGAGGCGTCAAGCAAATTGTTTGGCTAAAGAATTGGATCTTTCTGTAGAACAAAAAGTATCATTTTGTGATACTGTTTGGAACATATGGCTTCACTATTTGGCCATAACTGGTGAACTTGGCTCTGATGCTTGGGTAAATGCAGCTCTTTTATTAGCGAATTCGATTGGTGAAGTGCTCAAAGGCAACATAATAACCTCGAACGAGAAGCCTACCTATAAAATATTACGGAAACACAAAACGTCGAATCACTGTTATACGACTGCCCATCGTGAATACGAATGGGAACTCATGAAAAGTCGAATAAGTCAATTTCAGTGGGTTGGTTGGGGCATATTGTATGAACCACAGGAAGGCCGGGAAATAGGTAATGTTCTACAGCTGTGTCAAAAAAAGTAAGGGAGTTTTGAATTTAGACTTTGTTGAGTGTCATATCACTTTAGCTAATAATACTCACTTTTTATTCTACCCATTTTTTAAAAATTTACTTCCAACTGTTAAATGTCTAGTAATATTAAGTGTACTTAACGTACATCTGACTCCAGAATTGCTTAGGTGTAGGTCAGCGATACACGAACGATGCTACAAATATACCCATAACGGAAATCCTGCGTCCTACTCATGTTCTCTGCGTTCACAGATTATATTCTACTGCTATAGTGAAGTAAAACGGTTGGAAAAAGCAAGAAGGTGATCAGCTTATGCATTGGTGTCGGGGTATAAAGGAAAGCTGCACAAGGTTTTCATCTACCAGTTCTTCACGGGACTCCCTGGTTGGGGTTCAACAAATGATGCAACTCAATGGCTTGAGATGTTATTAAACACAGTTCAGAATAAAACCAATGCTGATCATGCAGTATTTTCCTTTTAATTTTAAAAATGAAAGGAAATTCTGTAATCGGAAGAATTTTTTACGGTTGCATTTTACTTAACGGAACTGTAACCATTTTATATCACTGTCGTTCACTTATTTTTATTTATTTATTGTTTTTGATCATACTCATTCTGTTTCCACAATCATATTTTCTCATTGTGTAGCGCATATTTATTTATTTAGTCATCTACTAACACATCGTAGCTGATGAAATCTTCAAGATAGATTAAGTGCTCAGCATATTAAACCACTTTAATGTATATGACCAATCTAGGTGTTGATATAAGGCAGTTCTGAGGTAACATTTTGCATTTAAAGGGAGAGGCACAGATTCCAATCCGGACTATATTTTTTACGTACACCAAATCAATGAGTAAGTTTCCAGAACAGAGATCGATCTTTAAAATATTGGATGGAATTTCAAATTGTATCATCGAGCTAAATTGCCTCATTGTGTGCTAAAACTAGTAGACACTGTTTGCACCTAGGTAACTTGGCTTATTTTCGTCTAATTATTTAGATTTATCTGAAAACGTATTCGATTTTCTTTCAGTTTACCTAGTTTTCTTCCAATATTCATAAAGACTACAGATTTATGAGTAATTCGTGTGTCATTCGAAATCAAATAAAAACAAAAGATTTTTCTGATAATATGGTGTCATAATGAAAAATTACTGTTACGAAGCTATTCTAAAATTCGAATATATACAATCTTTGTCGTTTCCTTCATTTGTCCTTCAGCAAAGCGTCTAAACAAGTGAAAAAAAGTGATGGAAAAAGTAAAACACTCAAACAACGAGGGAGAAAACGGAAGGACATTACTGAGTCTGATTCATCGGAATCCGTTCCTCCTGATGATAATTATGATGCTCAATCTGTCCATTCATTCGTTGATAATGATGGAAGAGATTTGAGAAATTTAAAGACTCATGATCCAGACTTGCCCTATCAATCTAAAGCTGTAGAATCAGAATTATTCCCCAATGATGATTGTACACAAGAAACACTATCTCCGTATTTCACCAAAAAGCTGTAAGTTTTGTTTTACACATAATTTTAAAGTTCAAATAGAGTTTTCATTGAAATTTTTATCAGTTGAAAATCGTTTTAAATCGGAAAATAAATTTAAGTCTGGTTCGTCTACTACCGAATGTTCCTCGAGCACAATACTCCACCTAACTAGTCCCAAATTGGAATAAGAGTTAAGAGCAAACGAAAATATGCTGTAGAGGTTCAAACAGCAAAAGTTAATACTGTTAGAGCAATAAAATTTATAGGAAATTTACACAGAAAACTTCTAGTCTTCTTAATCCACTCACTCATGCTGATTGGTTGATGGTAAGTCTGCTAAATAAACGCACGATCTGATTCCTACTCGCTTCTAATAACCTCAGACTGGATCTACACTGCAGCTTAAACACAAGAGAAAAGGCGTGAAGTACGAGAAGGACGCTTTACTCTAACGTTAGTTTACTTTGAGAAAAATGAGGATATTTATGGAGGTACTTATGACCTCAGGCTTATGGAAGGTTCGAGAACTATGCTAAATATGGAGGTTCTGCTAGGAATCATGCCACGTAACTGAGTATTTTCTAAATGTTTCTGTGAGGGTTTTATTCAGTGCCAATTGGATGGAACGTTTCCTAGAGTTTCTGGGCCACTATAGGCTTCTCTGAAGGATATTTCGGGCCTTCCAAACAGTTGGAAATAGACCAATCTGATTGTGACTCATGCAAATGCTAATCGAGTCTCTGCCCTGAGAATATAATTATTTTGTATAGTTTGAAATTTATCATCTGTGTGTATACCCATCAACTTAGGAATTTTGATCAAAGTTCGTTATAAGCTGTGATTTTCGAAAATAGTATTTGAGCAGAGAGCCCTCACAAGGTTTATGTTCTTCTTCGGTACTCCTTTTTAGGACTAACGCCACCACAAAACCTGTGTGTATACGCATAAACTTTCTTAGGAATTACAGCTAGCAGCTTTGAGTTTATTAGTTTATTTATACGTTATTGTCATTAATTTCTGAACTCTACTTACTCGTAAGATATTATTATTCACTCTACAATACCATTACTTTCACATCATAAGTTGTTCCTGAAAGCAATAAATCTTTAATTAGACCTAAAACAGTTACCCAACGATGGACCCTACTAGATCTCATCACTATTAGCCACCGATGGAGAGGCTCGATAGAAGACTGTCGCTCATTCTGGAGCTCATGTTTAGATTCAGATCATGCATTGGTGAGAGCGCGTATTTACTTGCGACTTACTGGACGTAAAAGAGACACTACAACGAAACCTCTTAAGGTTCTACCTGATGATAGCATAGCTATGGATATATTTCAGGAGCAATTAGAAAAACAGTTAGGCGGCCATGCAAGTGATTCCCATCCGGAGGCAGGTTAGAATGATATCAAAAAGGCTATGGAAACGGCAGTGATATCTGCTAGTAAGGTAAACCATAAAGCTAGAATGAAGCTGTGGATCTCAGTAACATCCACCGACCTGATGGATGCTCGAAAACTCATCCCACCTGGCTCTGAGTGCGATGAGGAGCGGAGTCAGCTTAGACGTAGGCTGATAAAAAGCCTACGCAATGATCGAGAACAATGGTGGGTAGAAAAAGTGAGAGAGATGGAAAAGACAGCGGCGATAGTAGGCAACTATTCAGACTTATCAGGGAAACCGGTTTTAGGAACCTGAATGTAAGTGAAACTATTTCGGAAAAAGTTGGTCTTATTATTCATTCTCGATCCGGGAGATGGGCAGAACACTAGAGATCTGTTCAATTGACCTTCAGCCACACTTACTTCGGTTGCCCACTATCTCCAGTCATCCTGAATGGCAAATCAATATAAGTCCTAAAAGTCTTTACGGAGTTGAAAAAGCTATAGGAAATCTGAAAAAGGGAGAGCAGCAGGTCCTGATAGGTTTACTCCTGAAATTTTCGAGGTTGGTGGTCCAGTTTTAATAGTTAGATTGACCGAGATCTTAAGTAGGATCTGGGATCCCATCCGACTGGTCTGTATCTCTGATTGTCCCAGTCTACAAGGAAGGACAAAAGTCTTCTTGTGACAATCACAGGGGAATAAGTTTAACTAATATAGTATCTAAAATATTTGCCTCAAAAATACTTAGACACCTAACTAGAGCTCGTGAAGAGCAGACTAGAGAGAACCAGGCTGGTTTCAGACCCGGACGTGGCTGTATAGACCACATCTTCACACTACGACAGGTCCTGGAACACAGACACACATTTAGGCGTCCTACAATAGTTGTCTTCCTGGACGTTGAGGCGGCATTTGGCTCAGTGAATCGTGAGATTCTGTGGCAGTGTCTGTCATTGAAAGGTGTACCAAAGAAGTACATTAACCTTATACAAGCTCTCTACTCGAACACCCCCGGTCGAGTGAGAGCCTATGGCGAACTGTCATCTGAATTCTTTACTTCAAGTGGTGTCCGTCAGGGCTGTCCACTCTCTCCATTCTTGTTTAACGTTGTTGTAGACATCTGTTGCCTAAACAGTGTTTTAATTCACAGACCATACACTGCTAAACATTTAGGTATGTAATCCTTTATTTTTCTTCACTATTTCAAGATATTTTACCAACCAACTGAGTGGAACTTTTACGTCCTAATATTTTGATTTTTTTTATATGAAACCATATTTGTCGTGTAGCGCTCCATGACTATACCGTTGTCGATTTCGAAAGCGTAGTTGTGTTATAGATTTACCCTGGTCAACTTAATCACTTCGAAATTTTAAATATGTATATATTTATGTGTGCCAATTTAGTTATAAGTTAAGTTTTGTGTGCAATTGCTTTTAGTGAATTTTTCAAAATGTTGCTGTTCCAAGTAATAACGATTATTTTAAATAACTGGTTTAAAATTTATTTTATTATATTGTTAGATCTCGGTCACAAGCGATGGGTCAATTAATTTGGCGTGGTCAAATTGAAGGTCGTTTTAACTGTCGTGTGTTAATGGAGCATAACTTGGCTGTTTTGTTCATTGCTTGTTTAACTACTTTTCCTGTACGAAGAGCAGTCAATCCATTATTTTCCTCACAATTTATAAATCCTAATTTCCCAAATATTCCATGTGCGCTTACTACAATGATCACTTTAAAAGATTTACAAGACTTATGCATTAGTCATCGTTTACCTTTCATATCCGTAAGTTTCAATATATTTTCGTGATTTTCATATATATTGTGTTAATTGATAAAATGCATAACAGAATTATTCAGTTTTTCAAACATTTTTTATATGTTAAGACAAATTTATTGAAGTAGATCAGTAATACTTAGAATTAATAATCTATAAAATCCTTTGTTTCCATTTTAAAACGGATCTAAGGGGAAAATCCACGGCATATTTATATTACTCGTTTAACTTAATTGCAGCTGATATAAGTCGATGCATTGCAACTTTAGTGTTGTGTTTCTGGGTCTAAATTTGATCCTGTCGAGAGAAAGGTTTTATGACAGTGTGACTAGAAACTTTGAATGACATGGTTCAAAATCGCCTACAATGGCATCCATTGTTTATCTTCATCCAATTTCTAGGCTTTTGAATTCCTAATGACTTTCTTTTCTTTTTTTCTGAATTTATTTCACTAGTTTGTATTTACTCGAATCATATCTTTGATACATAATCTTTTCAATTACCACTAATGCTGCTACTACTTCTGTTACTATGGGACTGGAATTGATAATTTCGTCTCTCTGCGCTAGTGTGGTATGATAACTTGGATTGATGATGTACTTACGTAAGTCAAGTTCTATCTAAACAACTGACTGACTGGGTCTAAATTTAGTAGTACATTACTCCTGGTTGGTTTGATACTTAGTACATCTAAAGTTTCCACCTTAATCTACCACAATTACGGTAACCAAATAAAAGTTGTTAACAATACAACTGAAATTTTTTGTTGTTGCATTACTGTTATAATATTGGTTAACAAATTATTACTAATTGAAAATGACTACGTCTAAGTTGATTATTTAAAGAAAATGTATAAGTTTTAAAATATAAAACAAAACAACCCATTTTATATCATGCAACTAGTTCTCTTAATAAATTTAACTAATATATTTCATTCTTTCTCTTACGATTTTCGGTACCATTTTAAACATTCATCTAAATTCCATAGACTAAATTATGTCAAACCTTCGTTTATAATTATGTCATTCCTTGTAATTTTAAACAGTTTATACCTAATACGAGTCCATGAATTAGAATGATTTTATCTTAAACTGCAAATATTGTTGTACTTGCACCGTCAAAATCATATTATCAAATGTAGACACTTACAACGTTGAGTTTTTGTCGATTCAATCTATCCCTTCCTATTGAAGTATTAGCTAGTCAGTCACTGTTATCCATCTTTTATATATGAAAATGTTGGTCATAACCCACCCGTTTGGTATGTCTTGCTAATAGTGTTTAGTACATGTCTATTCGTTGAAAAAACAATTCATATTAAATTACTCTAGTATGCTTTTTTCTTACATGTTTTGGTGGTACATCAATTGAATAAAGTGGTTAGTATTTAGACTATGTTTAGTCAGTATTGTGTTTACAGCCACAGTGAAGTGAGTAAACTAGGTTCTAATATCACAAACAATATTTAATTGTAATAATTCATTCACCTACTTTTGCAAAATCTCCTTTTGTGTAATATGTTCGGTGTTTACCTTACTCCCTACTCCGGTGACCATACATTATTTTCATAACAAATCGACACTATAATAATAAAAATCACTTCAAACTACCAAATAGAATACTATTTTATTTCAGTGCCTTAGTTGTTTCTTCATCTGAATTTTACGACGTAGGAATACAACAAATAAGTTTAATTCTAGTTATTTAATTCTTCACAGTTTGTCAAGTATGAAATATTCTAAGGCAAGTGAAACTGGTTTTTTAATCATTTTCATTTATGTTAAGGTATGTAAAGAGTTTGTAACTGTTATTGGACTTTTGTTTGAATCTCATGGGTCAGGTCAAAGGTAGCTCATTTACAAAGTCTTAAATAACTTGAGGCCAAACTCAGATTTGGATTTAGTAAACCGAATATTAGCACTTCAGTACATCCTAATCTGATGACTCATATATATTTCCCTTGCATAGTAAATGAAGACGTTAAGACCCCGATGGAATACTAGTTTATTTAGAGAAGATAGTTTAATAACAACAATCTGAACCCAACTCAGATATCTAATAAGCTTTCCACATAAATGTATAAGTAGCCTTAGCGACTTCTAAAATAAGCACAGTTTACATCATCTTGACAAGTTTTTCTTATTTTAAGAACGAACATTTCATCAACTATTTTATATATTTTCAGGTTGAAGGTTTATTTCCTCCAGGGGCATTTTGTATTCGTGATCAAAGTCTACTGGGTTTAATCAGACGTCATAGACCTCCGGAAATCGACCATTTGGCATATGCAACTGCTCGGATGCGTGAATTTATTGGATTGAACCATTTCCCAAAGTAAAAATATTTCTTATTTTTCAATAACATTGTATAGTTTTTTAATCATGAACTTCATAATTACAATAACTCATAACTTAGCCCTTATTATGGGATTGTCTTTTACTATTCAGAAGTAAATCACTTACAATTAAGGTTGAACTTTCTTTCTACCTACTTTGGGATTAAATAATCTATTTTGATGACTAAAAATAGACCTCAAAATATTATAGTCCATACTATAGAATTTAGTGCCTCTCAGGTAAGGGGTTGTTTCTTTTTTAGTCTTAAAGTTTTTCGTTGATATTTGTTTAGAAGGCTTGTTGTTTCTGCAAAATTCTGTTTGTGTTGTCTATCTGTCTTAAATTCTACTTTAAACTAACTTTTTGATGCTATAACAGACCACGTCTAATTCCCTGTCATTGCTAATGAATTCGAGATAACTACTATAGTTTTTTCATTGAGATAGTAAATCTAGAAAGTAATTCGTTTCGCAATTTTATAGTCGTTATATTCTTGAAACGCCTGGATGAATGGCATGAATATTCTAAATACTAATAACCATGAAACGAAAAAAAGCAACTTACACTTCCTTTCATCCAATTCTAGCTAGTCCGAAAATGGACGTTTAAATATTAGTTAGAGGATTTTTAAATCTACCAGATAAAATTAATTCAGCTCAAACTTAATGCACGCGAACATGTTTTGCAACGTCTTTATAAACAGGACAAAACTTAACGTGCTCAAGTACAGAAAAACCAGCAGCTCAAGAGCATTTGTATGAGTGATGAAAAAGGCTTTAAAAACTTTGATGAGAAGACAGCAAATTCAAAATTGTACGCAATAGCTATCAGAATGCTCGTATGTTTAACTTTTGATAGTCGGTTGGGAAAATCGATATTTATATATCATTATCCTTATACTATTCTGCATGGATTAGAGTAATTCTCTTAAATCTCCGAATATCAAGAAACATGTATATCAGTTTCAGCGTCTACTTCCTTAAGTGAACAAATTTTTACCGCAAAGGTACATGGATCTTACTACGTTTAGGTTCTTATTATCTCGCATCGAACTGCAAAACCAAATACTTAATTGTCGATTGCACATGGTATTGAAATTTACTTTGGTCTAGCTAGCTCCGTTCCAAAATTGTCACCTATTTCATTTATGATTTATTGTGCACATGTTATACAAAACGTTGATATAATTATTGAAATTATGAATTCCTAGCAGCTGGCAGGTGCTTATTTTAGAAACTACTTGTTTCGACATTATTCTTTCCTTGTCGTTTTATCTTCTGCCTGTAATCAGTATTTAGTAGTTTGAGTCGTCTTCCACCATTTGTATAACCTGTTCACTGTGATGTAGTTATTATTTCTCACTATGATCTACTTATTTCATACTTTTGTGCTCTTATTTCAATGGTGTAACTTCTCGTTATATGCATAGTTGTATACTTATGCTTCTGTTCATCGTTTTAGTCTTCCTTGTATTCGTTAATCTCTTAAAATTGTATTGTTTTAAACGGCTTGCCTATTTTCGAAATAGCAACTCATGTTTCCATTAGTTATTGATATTCCGGTTCAATTTAGATACACATCGTTCCCCGATTTAAAGAACCATCGTCATCTCATACTTTAATTAATTGATACACGTACTTTCTTTAAACCATATACTTTTGCCGTCTTAATTAACACGTGAAACCTCACAATTCCAAGTTTGTGAATTCTCATTGCTTTTGCTATTTTCTGTATTAATATCATATTTCCAGGTAGACATCGTCTTTTGCTTTCGGAGTTACACATTTAACTCGGTCGTTAGTTTAGATTTCTGTAGTGAAGTTCTACAGAGTGTTATTTCGTTAATAGATCCACGGATTTCAACAAAGTTTTCTTATAGAGTTTTGTCTTAGACTGAATCCAAAATGAAGTTATTATTCCGCATCAATTCACAATGTTATCTAGTTCTTTTTTACCATTTATATATAGATATCCACTAAGCTGGTTGATGCATCGTCATATAACTGCTCTAGGTCTTCCGGTAGTAATGCATACATTTGTACAACCTTTGTTAGAGAGACTACAGCAAAAATGTACTCCTGTTGATAAATACATACACTACCCATTGTTAAATTTAATCCCATGGCCAAGAGTCGTTCGACCGGAAGTATTTGCAATGGCATTAGTTGTCATATTATTACGTCTTGTTTTCAAATTCAATGATGTCTTTGAAGTAAGTTGACTTTCAAAATCATTGATAAAAAATTAAACTTAAGTCAGTAATATTCGTCATATGTTCTGATTTTATCCATTGCTTTCCATAGCTATCATCAGGTGTTAGTATTAACTTAGCTATCATATTAATCGACAATTTCCCACTGATCATCTTAGAGAGTGAATACTAGGTACGGATTCATATCGGTCATGTACAAGTAATAGGCACTTCGGTGGTGTACATGTCATGCATTTGGACACAGACTGGCAGGTTGCTTATATGTCATCGCACAGTAAGACAATATCATCAACATTATCATGGTCAGAAAACCTTCCCTAGGATCAAAGATCCATATCCCTACTAAATACTTCTTTTAGAACTGTTTTGACAATTCCATCGATGAAAAAGATAAATGACATTGGGAATATGTACCATCCATTTTAATCTCGCTGGTGGTTTGGAACCAAAAAGTCTGTTACAATGTGAGGCGAAAAAGCACTAGACAAATGAAGTGTAATGTATTATGAAGAAATATGATAAAGAACAGCCGTATAGTAAATAAATCGACAAATATGAAAATTATTTTGCACAATATATAATTCAGTTAAAATGCAGCTGAGAAGAGTATTAGTTTGGAAGGTTAATCTAATTTCATTGGAAAATGTAACAAAGCTATAACAGTATCGTCACCTGCCTCTTTATGACTTTTATTTGATCGTGTCTTAAACCATTGAGTTGCAGAATCTTTATGACATCAACTGATTAGTTACGATAAACCAACAGATGACAGTTCTGTACAACTGTCTTTCGTTTCACAGCATCATACCGTAAACTGATCACCTGTCAGTTTCCTTACACATAGTCTCCGCTTCGGGAAATAATGAACGACATGGTAGCCTTTAAGAAGACATTTATGAAATTTACTCAAACTACTAAAACTAGTATATCAAGTTCATGACACTTATTATCACCACGACGAAATCCACATGACCGGACCTCGCTTTGACTAACACGGTCTTGTCATTGGATGGTAGCGGTCTGTTAAGGGTGATATTGATCAAACATAGACAGTTATAGAATGTTATCTGAGGGTTTCATAAGCATAAAGCAGTACTGCTTTTATCAACAAGCTGTATATTCGACTTTTAATAGCTAAACTAACAACACAACAGTCCAGAAGTTGGTAAAGGTTGCTATCAACAACTCTTACTTACACCTGTTACCCCCTTCCCCCCAATGAAGGATAGGTCGTCAGCCATTATTCTCCAACCTACTCTGTCCTGAGCATCCTTTTACAGTTCTGTTCAATTTTGTTCATTCTTCTCATATCTGTCTTCATTACTCAGCGTAGTGTTTCTTGGCCTTCCTCTTTCCCTTTGATCTTGAGGGTTTCAAGTGTGTTCCTGTCTTGTGACGCAGTTGGGTGCTTTCCGCAATGTGTGTCCTATCCACTTCCAGCGCTTCTTCCTGATTTCCTCCTCCGTTAGAATCTGTGGGAGAGATTAGACCAGGTTCTAGTGGAGGAGGAAAACAAGAAGAAGCGCTCAAAGTGGATAGGACACAGACTGCGGACAGCACCCAACTGCGTCACAAGACAACAGCAATACATTTATGAAAGTGGTATGTAGATTGCTGTCATATATATATATATATATATATATATATATATATATATATATATATAGAAGGACCGTTCCTAAGTGGATTGTCATAATTCGTAATCCAAACTGCTTTTACTCTCTATTGTAAATATTTCGAACATGTTGACTTTACAATTATTTGCAAATGTTTTTGAACTTATAAACTAATTTATAAAATAAAGTTATCTGTGGTTTTTCGTGAAAGTTTCTACTTTTCCCTCACATTTTTTATTTTTATTTGGTCCCAGAAGTAATTTGACGGTTCTAAACCCTTATTTAAATGAACTTTCAGTTATTATCTTTACAAATCCATTATTTCCTTACGCTTACAAATAATTTAGCATCGGCTTAGTTCTGTTGCCAAAGCTCTGGAGCTATTTCCGAATCGTCCAGTTAAAAATGCTCAAACGTCTAATATCTCGTTATACGACCGACCTTTTATCTGGATTTCATGGGTGCAGTATATTGACTCACGATTTCATCCATCCCACAAACTTAATTTACATTCCTCAAAGAGTGATCTAATTTCATATAGTAATGCTCGAGTTCGTGAATCTAATCAACCATTAGTTTTGACTGCCAGTCAAGGTTCTGAACTATTAAACTTAGATAAAGCTTCTGACTTCTTAGGTTCAACTGAATTCAAAGTTGGTCGTGATATTGGCTGGGGTGAGAAAAGTATGAAGAAAATTAAAGTGGCTGATGTGAGTTTTATATTCTAATTAAATTCTTATGTTTATATGTATCGTAAATGAGGTAAAAGAATACGTTGTTTTAAGCTAATTCGATTATTTGTTTACATATATATGATGGTATTGCGTTACATAATCATTATTCAACTATTTATTTGCAGGTGGTTTTTTAATTGTGTAATATTTGATAGCCAATCTAAGTCACTTGTTATGACTCACCACTAAGGATCCTATCATATTTTTGTGTAAATTAATGTTCTACATTTTGTCAGGTAACTTTTAATCTTAGGCTGTGACCAAGATTAGATGAACGCCTATTGGTTCAGATACTGCAGCATTCTACTCCTAATGTCCAGTCTTATAAGAGAACATGGTAAACGAGTAAGATGTCTGTTATTTAGTAGTTCTTTATGTGTCTCAACTCATACAACTTACTTACCTTTGTTACTCCAAATAGAGCATAGGCTGCCGATCATCTGTGGTGAGCGTTTTTCTAGCGAGTCGGCTTTCTACGGGATGGAATCGGTAACCCCATGTCCAACACTCCTGCTTTATCCAAGCTTGAGACCGATAATAACCGTAGACGGACTGATACAACAGTATAGAGTAATTTCTTGGGCGCATATCTCAACAGATAGGATATTACGTTATGGACATAACTACTCCATAAGTGAAAGAGAACTAATTAATTAGTTCGTGGTTAGTCAACAATAGCTTAAGAACGACAAAACATACAACAATAATTATATCTCAAACGAATAATTGAAATTAAGAGGGCATAATGTCACGATAATCCAAATATATAGCAATTATGCAATAAAAGTATGAATATTAATTCTTCATAAGATAGTTTACAATATTCTCTCTGCTGCATCAAATTATTAGTAATGTTTTTAGCTGCAACAAAATATGAACCCTAACAATCAAAATTCATATGCGTTTCATAAACTAATAACTACCTGAATTCGGTAGTTCAATGGATGACACGTTGATGTTTGAAACGCAAGTCACTGTGTGAACATCAGCACTATGATGCAGGTACATCTAACTGAGTCTCAAATAGAAGTAAGCGACACGTCCTGAATCCCACTATTAGCCACTATCCAACTTTCGAAAAGTTGTTCGTATCTGTCTGTGTGTAAGTTCTTTTATCGAAAGATATCTATGTAGTCTTTACTTAATGAAATTAATTTTTTGATCGTCTTTTTATAGTTTTTTTAGTTCTCCAAATATGTAAGCGGTTAGATTTTTTAAAAATCTGTAATACTTTTATATTGCAAACTGTTTGTTTGCAATGTATTGCAGGTAGAAGAGCCAAACCAAGAAAATTGAATCAATTCCTTGTTATTTTCAAATTTATGTTTGTAATTTATGAAATAATTTTTTCCAACTTTTGTTTTTACTACTTCTCATCTTGCGACATCGATTTCAAAATGTTTATTCATCTCTCTCTCGAATCAAGCATGGTACCACTAATGTACTTTCTTAAACAAGGTCCCTCTTTTCTGAAATATGCAAACATATTCTTGATTAAAAAGAAAATCAAGTTTTTGTGAATCACTGTAAGATTCTCTGGTTTGACTAGAATGGAATTTATTTATACCGCATAGAAACCTGGTGACTATATATGCAAATAAAGTATGAAATTATATCTCCTTGATTTGAGTTGGGAATGAGATACACATGGAAATACTTTTAATAAAATAGTTTTTAACTCTACTAATATTTATTTCCTACTGTGTTAGTATTACTTATAATGACTTTTATCAAATGTTATATTTTTTCATTAAGAGCATAAAATTTTTAAATTCAAGAACATTTCAATATTATTACAATGAAATATGTAGTAAAGTTAACTGAATACTTTGAGATTACATGCTTTTATATAAACTAAGTCCATTTTATCAATCGTGATTTTCTTCATCTAGGCTTCAGTAAAATTATCTTTATCTCAGCCATTGCGTAATTTATTCGAACCACGTCAAGTGCTTGATTTGACTGATTCAACTGTAACTGTTCAAAATCATGATCATCAAACGGTTATTGGTAATATTCCATCTGATTCTAGTACTAAAACTACAGAAAACACAATTTACAAATGTTCAATACTTTCTGATTACGAACAAGCTGGTTTACTAAGCCCTTTTCGTAATACACAATTAAACTTTTTATATAACAAAGATATCAATGTCAATGATTATATTCCAAATACTTTTAATGATCATAGAACATCTACTGATTCATATGGATTTAATGATTGCACTATAAGAGAATGGTGGTTACATTTGATCAATCAACGATCTGATTATTTTTCAATATGTATTGGAGAATGGTGTTCAAATTTTTCCGGTAAATCTCAATGGAAAAATCGTAATCGTAGCAAACAACCAATTATTTTACCTAAACCAGTAGAAGAATTCATTGCTAAGCATGATGAAAATTTATCCAGAGCATTTGACCATGGTGGTGATGAATTGGTCCATGACAAACAAAAAGACAAGGATAATTCTCCCAATGAAGGTATCTATATTGATTGATATGTGTAATCGTTTTATGTGCATATTAGAACATTTGATAAGTATACCAATTATACAGGTTTGAAAGGAATAATAATTTTCAGTATGCATATCACTTACTAATAATGTCAATCATAGATTGTACTAGTTTATTTCATCAAAAATAAGTTATTTCTTACTGAGAACTCATTCCATCATTGAACAGACAAGATAAATAAACTCGATTTATACAAATCATGCAGTAATAAATTGCATTCTCCTACATTTTTTTTTATATATAGTCAATAGGTTTAGTTTCAAAAGTCTAAAATATTACGGTCACTAGATAACTATTACATAGCTCAAAAATAACTGTCATCATTATCATCCTTGGTAAAATTAGTATCGTTTTATGTGGTTATTGAGTTTTGGGGGATACAAACTAACTTGTTGGTGTTTGCACCATCTGTGGTCGTAGACGTTGGATGATATTGGCCTCAATGGAGCAGACGCATTCACTCTTTGCCATCTTTTAAGTTTTGAGCTTCATAATTACTTCATATTTATATTGCAAAAATTCACCTCCTTCCCCCACTATGTTAGTCCCACTATAGTCCTTCTTACTCTATATACGGTTATCATTTCGACCCCTTTGCTATTCCTTTTGTTAGCTTAATCTATTTGTGTTGATATGGTAACTTGTCTGTTACTCGTTTGTACTAGGTTCCATAGTAATCACGACTAATTTGCAATGAATTACCAAGCATACAATTCCAAGGATACTTATTCTATCCTATGGAGATATATCTGAGCACTAAAACAGCTTAGTCTCATTAGTCATTAGGAATACACTGTTAACATCACTGCATCCATACACAGTCATGTTTCTGTCCATATCAGAAGTATATGACCAAAATGGTTACATTTCTTCTTGGTTATATTATTTATTTCATTTGTGCGCTATCAAGCTTTTCTGTGTATATTGGTATAACATCACTAATTTTCTGTAACTGAAATTATGTCCAATTAACTGGTTGTATTTACGGTGATGAAGGGGTCTATTATTATCCAGTCTCAATCCATATTGCTAAGAACGCCTCTTAGGATCGATATTCATGTAACATCTTGTTTTTTAAAGGTGATAAGCGTATACAACTATAGATAGTTCGTTGAGGATGTTTTTCTCCTTACAAATTTTATATTTTTATTCAACATAATGTTTATTAAAAGTCGGTTTAAACGTCAACCACTGAAGTAGCTCCGATATAGATAGTTCAGAAATTATGTTCTACCCTAGTTTGCTATGGTTATTCGGATTTGTTTGCACTCACACTCTTTAAAGCAAATTTAAATAACTGTTGTATTTGAGCTATCATGCTAGTAAGAAAGACTGTTTACGGAATTACTTTGTGAGAATACATTTTACGACTTGACTTTCTAAATAGCCTGTTCACCTAACTCAAACAGAGCCTGTGTAACTTTACATGGATCTGCTTGTTTTTCAGAAATGAGAAGCATGAAAATAATCGATTGTCTACTATTTGGTTTAGAGAATCAGAATTTTTTTCTGAATTCAAGTATATTAGATTGTAATAAAACTATCTAATTATGTCCATCAATTTACGAGTTATTTACGTAACTGTTTTTCATATTTATATTGATTTCTACAGGTTTATTAGAATCCAACAGCGATCCTCCTAACTCAAAACCTATTTGTTTACATTGTTCCAACCCAAGCCAAAGCATGAAATGGCTAGTCAACGTCTGTGCAATGGTTTGTGGGGCATCTAGTATTAAGTCACTGCTTACTGAGATTGAATGTCTGGAACGCCTACTTAAATGGCATGCGAACGCCTTATGTTCATCCTCTTTTTTGGGAAATGATGCACGTCAAATTGACTACGCACTTTTGTCATTTTTCGATTTGAATGTAGATATTAATGAGCTATCAGGAAGTGGGTATCGTGAGTATTGGAAATCTGTAATCTAGTTTCTCTGCAGATTTTTCTCTACATACCTTCTGATGCGTCACTTGCACACTAATTTGTACAGAGATACCAATTGTTCATAGTTTATTTCACTTACTTAACTTGGATCAGATTTATAATAACTGTGTATTCAGAGCAAAGCAGTAAATGTGTTCTGTTCTTCATTAAGTTGCACAATATCGAGAGAAAAGTTTCTCCGAGTACATGAACTCAGTGAATTGAGGTAGTTGATGAATGCAAGGTTTCATAACCGCTTTTTAAGATGCCGTTTAATATGATCTGAGGCCGTTGTGAAGTTTAGTCCATTAACATCTTAATCATTGCGAATACTGAGTTGCAAGATGTCAGATGTGTATCGATGGAATAATCAATCTACAATTTTCTAGGAAGTATCCATTTTCAGAGAATTCTAGGACATTGAGAGTGTAAGGAAGTTTTGCTTGATTATAGGAAATTTGCCCCTTTTGTGACATCACAATTATTTACTTTGCCTAACTACATGGTCGTAAAACTTAGTCACTGAGAAGTAGTGTAGATTTCGGTCCATAGATATCCTCAGAGCATTTGAAGAGCCACCGACGATATGTTTCTAGCGTTAGACACTAACGTTTGAATTCTTAGTTCAATAAGTTGGTTAGAACATATACTGCGCACAGCCAATTAAAGTTTGTCTCGGTATAATATTTTGGACCGCAATAACAGTTGAGACCCAGGCCAAGGTATGATATAGGTTTATGAAGCCATGGACTGTTGAGAAAAATGTATCGGGTTCTATGGTGCAACTGTCTATCCATCAAAGCTGATATCATTCGAAACCAGCAGCTCCCAAAATTGTGACTGAATGTTGGAACCTAGTGCTCAAACGTTTTGTATACATTTGGGAAGTGTTGGACCTTAGCAACACCTTGTCTGATGAAGGGATCAAGTTATCGGTGGTAGGTAGCATAGTATTGTAGCGACTATTAAATGGTAAATTCTTCATACATTCCGACGTATTAAATATGTAATGCAAGGAGGTAACGTATGAAATGGACATCATTCTACAATAGTATGTTTGCTTTACGACAGTAATATATTTGATGCCAACTAAGCGGTCCCGACCGTAGCTGCTACTTTGACGTGGTGGTCCAACGTGCCTATAGTGATGACCCAACCGAGCTGAATTGGCTGGAACATATGTTCCTGCAGGTCCTACCATGCCAGACAGGTCGATTGGAGAACGGTGAGACTAAAAGCATCTACCCAAGGTCTGAGGGCGAAATCGTACTGCTGACTGCAGAGAGGTGTGACAGCAGTAAGGTGTTTCCCTCGGACAACCAACAGCTGCAGCGATGCTGCCTTCTCACAAGGAAGGAAGGGTTAGAAAAGGTCGGCCGTAAAAATGTCACACCTCCCCTACCTCACGGATTTCCGTCTCCTTGGGTAAGGGTGCCCACTAAGGGATTTCAAGAGCGGAGCTAACACTCAAAAAACTTCTCATAAAAAGGCCATGCGTGACCGGCCTGAAGCAGTTGTCCCTTGGGCTCTGCGGTCACGCTCCCAGGTCGTTAAGATCGACACTAATCTACCTTATTTTACCAGGTTCCTCAAGAAACAACCTTCCACGGTGTAGGCAGCCGGGAAGTGACAACCGCTCTCATACCCGTAACAGCACACGAGACCGAATCGGTCGCAATCAAATCCTTTCTACACCTCTTAATAACTCCCTTATCTTCTCGACCAACCGTTCTTTCGATCGTTTATCACCTCACGCCAATGAAGCAGACGGTATGAGCTCACGAAAGATTATCCCTGGTCTCTTGGAACCCCGTACTAAATCACATATGGGAGCTTTTAATTTTCGGACCGTATGCAAAATAGGACAACAGGCTTCATTACCTAGAACTCTGGAATCCCGGGCGATCGATATATGTTGCGTCTCAGAAACGCGCATACTTGATCCAAGTAAAACTATCCTAGAGCAGAACTAGCTCTCTCCCGATAAAGTCGCTTATGCGCTGTCCGACTAAACGGGACCTTACGAACTCGAAGGATAGGGACACTCACTGTTGCCTCTTCGTCGTATCAGCCTACGCTCCCACTTACTGCAGTTCAGACGACATAAAAGATAAGTTTGATAGAAACCTCTCTAACATTCTCCAAAATGTTAAGCGCTCTGACATAGTAATAATGGTAGGTGACTTAAATGCTCAAGTAGGTAGACTCAGTGATAAGAAAAGACACCTGGGTGGATGTTATGGTGCCGCGGCTAATAGAACAGATAATGGTTATCGTCTCCTGCATATATGCTCAGATAACCGCCTATTTCTAGCAAACACTAACTTTAGGCATGAGGTAATACACCTTTTGACCTGGCGACCTCCAAAGTCTTCACAACGATGGACCCAACTAGATCACCTCGCTATGAGCCATGGGTGGAGAGGCACTGCTGAAGACTGCCGCTCATACTGGAGCACTTTTTGAGACTCCGAACATACTCTAGTGCGAGCGCGTATTTGTTTGCGCCTTACTGGACGCAAGGAAACCTCTTAGGGCTGTACTTAATGATAGCAAAACTAAGAATATATTCCAGGAACAACTAGAAAAACGGGCGTGCATGAAGTCAGTGATGCCAACCCTGAGGCAGCTTGAAATGATAACAAAAAGGCTAAGTAAAGTTCATCCCTCCCGGCTCTGAGTACGATGAGGAGCGGGGTCAGCTCAGGCGCAGGCTGATAAAAAGCCTTCGCAATGATCGAGAACAGTGGTGGGTAGCAAAAGCAGGGGAGATGGAAAAGGCAACAGTAGGCGACTATTCAGACTCATGAAGGCAACCGATATTAGGAGCAGCTAGATTGACCGAGACCTTAGGTAGAATCTGGGATTTAGACGTAAACCCATCTGACTGGTCTCAGTCGCTAATTGTCCCAATCTACAAGAAAGGACAAAAGTCTTCTTGTGACAATCACAGGGCAATAAGTCTAACTAATATAGTATCTAAAATATTTGCCTCAAAAATACTTAGACACCTAACTAGAGCTCGTGAAGAGCAGACTAGAGAGAACCAGGCTGGTTTTCGACCTGGACGTGGCTGTACAGACCACATCTTCACACTACGACAGGTCCTGGAACACAGACACACATTTAGGCGTCCTACAATAGTTGTCTTCGTGGACCTTGAGGCGGCATTTGGTTCAGTGAATCGTGAGAATCTGTGGCAGTGTCTGTCATTGAAAGCTGTACATTAATTAACCTTATACAAGCTCTGTACTCGAACACCACTGGTCGAGTGAGAGCTTATGGCGAACTGTCATCTGAATTCTCTACATCAAGTGGTGTCCGTCAGGGCTGTCTACTCTCTTTATTCTTGTTTAACTCTGTCGTAGACATCCTCTTAGATTTAACATTAGGCTCGTCAGATTTTTCAGGGGTTGGCCTTCTACCAGGAAAATCGCTTACTGACCTAGAATATGCCGATGACATAGTTCTATTTCGTGAAGACGCTGACAAACTGCAGTCTTCTGACTACCATAAGCAACAATGCAAGCATGTTCGGGATGCGGTTTTCCCCATCGAAATGCACGATGTTGCTTCAGGATTGGATTGCATCGGCACCTGAACTAGTGATAGGGAGTGAAGTAGTCGAGCCTGTTGATCACTTCACGTATCTGGGGAGTCTCATCAGCGATGATAGCCTGGTGACTGACGAAATCTCAGCGCGAATACAGAAAGCTCGATTTGCTTTTGCCAACTGCCGTCACTTATGGCGCAGGCGAGATATTGTTTTGCTAACTAAAGGACGAGAGTACTGTGCAGTAGTTTACTCCGTCCTACTTTATGACTGTGAAACATGGCCGTTAAGAGTAGAAGATGTTCGTATGTTACTGGTTTCCGATCATAGGTGTCTCAGAAGCATTGCTCGTATATCCTCGGACAACCGAGTTAGCAATGCTGTCGTTAGGAAACGAGTACTAGGTAAGGATGGCAGATCAATAGACGAAGTAATGAAACTTCATCAGTTGAGGTGGTTGAGACATTTGCTGCGTATGGCTAACCACCGACTGCCTCGATGAGATATGTTTTGTGGTGTAGGAGTAGGTTGGATGAAAGTTAGGGGCGGCCAGACCAAAACATGGCAGCGATCCATGAAGTCACTGACAAGTGGACTGAGTCATGTTGGTAGATGTAGGCTACCTGGTCGGGGTCCGCGAGACGAAAGTCACCGATGGTTAGAGACCTTGAATGACATGGCTCAAAACTGTTTGCAATGACGCAGGTGCGTTTACTCTTTGTGTTCTCATCACCTCTTTATTTCTGTTTATTAATTTATCTCACTGAATTATGCTTCTCGAATAATATTTGCGCTCCCTAATCTTCTCCATTACTGCTAATACTTACACTATGGCTATCACCCTTGTATTTGAACTGACAGTTGCGTCTCTGTGCTGATGTGTTATGGCAACTTAAACTGCTGTACTTACATGCAAAGTTTTACGATGCTGTTGATGATGAACCTAGCGGTGATGTTACGTGTTAGTAGTACCTGTGTTAACAAGAATATTGTACAGGCCTTGGTCGTCGATGTAGGCTACACTAGGGCTTGTAATGATCCGTCTCTTTTAAGCTTCTCTTGTGTCCTTACATGGTTGCAGAATTCGTCTTTACAGTCATTACCAAGAATGCGTGGTCGTTTATGCTACTTGATTCTGAATGTCATAATCAATCCTTCCACCATTTTTTTCTTTAAACATTTGATATTACATACATAAGACTTCTAAGCAATAGGTTTTAGATAAAAGTTCCAATATTGTTTCCCAGAATTCGAAACATTATGGTTTTTGTAGATTTCAAGAGCATTTATTGAAAAATGATCGAAAATAAACAATACACGTTAGTTAAGCCATATACCAAACATCATATAAAAGAAATACAGATGAAAAGTTCAGAATAGCAACTTTCAGTAAAAAAATGGTTTGCAGTGTGAGACTAGATTTTTACATAGTTTTCTCACACGACTCTATTTTTTCCATGAATGAACTAAATGTTAGGCATGTACAAAAGGTTTTTTCTGCAGATATTTAGATATAGAAAATTAATTTACACTTTATTCAATCAGCTTCTTAGACTTGAAGTAACGTCTTAAATAAAGAACCTGCCAACAT